ACCTCAGTATCCAGCTGCATCCAGAAACATCTGCCTCTCCTGTAAGAAGTCTCTACAAGGCTCGGGGGGAACAGCAGAGGAGGGCAGGGTGGGAGCAGCGGCTGGATGAAAGAGTGAGGTGCATCCTCCCCGCAGCATTTCCCCAGGCCCTGCTGGATGCAGAAGTCCATTGCTGTCCTCCAGCTGCTCTGACACACACCTGCTTTCTATCTCAGGTCCTCGGGGTGGCCCCTGCAGGGCCTCCAGGATGGGCCTTCACTTCCTCCCTGGCTCCCTTCACTGGCTGTCCCACAATGGATTCTCCAGTCTTGTTTCCAAAATTCCAGCCAATTTCTCTCCTCTGGAACACTCTGTATCATTTCTGCACGAAGGCATCTTCTCTCTAGTCAAGCTGCCACACTTTTGCCGGGAGGTTTCAAGACAGGGTTTCTCTGTGTAGCCCTGGATGTCCTAGAACTCACTCTGTAGACCAGGTTGGCCTTGAACTCAGAGATCTGCTCACCTCTGCCTGCCCCCAGCACTGGGATTAAAGGCGTGCGCTACCATGCCCAGCTAAGCCGCCACACTAATTTGAGTTCGTTGGTTTTTTGTTTTTGTTTTTGTTTTTTGTTTTTTGGGGTTTTTTTTGTGGGGGGGTTGTTGAGACAGGGTTTCTCTGTGTACTTATAGTGCCTGTCCTAGATCTCACTCTGTAGACCAGACTGGCCTTGAACTCACAGAGATCTGCCTGGCTCTGCCTCCCGAGTGCTGGGATTAAAGGCGTGCGCCACTAAGCCTGGTTGGCGACTAATTCTTAACCCATCACTAATCATACAAGCTTTAGAGTGAGAAACTTTATGGTTTCATGTGAGGACCCCATGGACTTTTCTTCTGCATCCTTTCATCCTTGTTCATCCAGTATTAATTGTACACCTATTATGGGACAAGCAGATACCAAGTGACTTGTCACAGCCCCTATGTTCAAGGAAGGCAGTCTACGGGGACCATAGACATGAACAACAGGAGTACCATGTAGTAAGGGGGACTTCAAGCTACAAACTGAATGGCCATGGCAGCCACAAGGAGATGACTACTGGGCTCTGGGGACAGGAAGGAGTGAGTCCCAGTTCTGACTTCCTATTTGTGTGACCCGGGCAGTTGTTTGTCCTTGCTAAGTGTCAGTTTTTGCACCCGTAATGTGGGAAGAGCTATCACATCTCCCCGGTAGGCTTTGGGGAATTAAATGGTGCTGTCTGTAGAGAGTTTAATTTCATGTTCCTGGTGCAGGGAAGGCTCCCAGAAAACAAGACAGACTTTCTTTTTGACATAATTTTTTATTGATTCTTTGGGAATTTCACACCATGCACCCTAATCCTGCTCATTTCCCAGTCCCTCCATGTCTGCCCCTCACCCCTGCAGTGTTCCCCCAAAAGAAAATTTTAAAAAATATTAATTCAAGGGGCTGGAGAGATGGCTCAGAGGTTAAGAGCACCGACTGCTCTTCCAGAGGTCCTGAGTTCAATTCCCAGCAACCACATGGTGGCTCACAACCATCTGTAATGAGATGTGGCGCCCTCTTCTGTATACATAATAAATAAATAAATCTTTAAAAAAATATTAATTCAAAACAAAACAAAAATCACTTCAAGCCTCCGTCCTTCCTGCCTCCCCACCATCTCTTCACTTGTCTTAGTGGCATTGGGGGCTGCGGTGTGTCACCCAGCTTTACTTGCAAATGTTCATTGCAATGAGTTGTCGGTCTGGTTCAAGGCCTCTGGCTTCTGGTACACCATCGACAGCGGACTCGGCCGAAATTCCTCTCGAATATCCTGCCTTTGCCCCGAGTCATGGAGATCTTATGGCTGTGGCTCCACAGGACCAATCCCCTCATGCACTCCAGCAGGTCACAGATGGGGTAGATGTTTGGGGTGGGCCACCTCAAAGCCCTAGAAATGGGTCTGGGTGGTAGCTGATTTGGTCAGTCCAGGCTGCCGGGACTGCCTCCCTCAGGCAAGGGGTGGCGTATCTGTACAGCTCTCCCACACCCGTGGTGAGGGGCGGGGCCAGCTCTCCTGTGAGGGGCGGGGCCAGCTCTCCTAGGGTAGCAAAGGGTGGTGCTAGCTCAGCATGGCCCTCAGATTTTAACATGCATGGTTTCTATGGCCCCCTGTGGTAACATGGGCCATGGTGATCAACACAGACCCCAGCTGCAGCGGGACCATGGACCCAGACATGTCCTGAGCTGCTGCCAATGGCCCCAGTGGCAGTACAGGCCACTCAGACCAGTATGGCCCCCACAGCAGCATGGTCCTTGGACACCAACATGGTCTCAGGTGGTTGACCAGATACCGGGTATCTGCAGGTGCCATGGACATCAACTCAGACCCTGGCTGGTGTAGGGCCATGGACCCAGACATGGTCCTCTGCAGCAGTTCGGGCCTGGATATCACCACAGCCCCAGTGGCAGCCCAGGCCATTGAGATCAGCATGCCTCTACACAGCCCTCAGACACCAACATGGCCACAGGTGGCAGCCCAGACCTTGGGCTGGCCACACTGGCCCCAGACATGGTTCCCAGCAGCATCCCAGGCCTGGGTATGAACAAAGGCAGGTTTTTCCAGGAGAGATGAGAGTTGAACTCTGACTTAAAGACCACATAGGAACTTGTTGGATAAATAACCCAGACAAAGTTGCTCCTGGCAGAAAAACCAGCTTGGGCAAGGCATTGTGGCTGGGGTATCCATGACCTTTGAAGGTACTGCAATGTGATTTAGGAAATGAGTGGGAAGTAGCTGAAAATCAAGAGATTCTTGCTTCGAGATGATAGCAAGATCACCCAAGATCATTTCATGCTAAAACCAATCGGGAGTCACTGAAGGTGGTTGAAAAACAAGCAATACGACCAGATTGTATACTGGGAAACAGAACTTTTTCTTAGTAAGGAAAAGAGAGACTTGGGGAGGGGATTCATTCTAATATACATTGGTGGGAGATGGGAAGGAAGAGAAGTATCGAGTGCTCCTGAGAGCCGATCCCTGAGGATGAGGATGATGATGATGATGATGATGATGAGGAGGAGGAGGAGGAGGAGGAGGAGGAAGCGGCTTCAGGCTCACAGCACACGAGAGAACAAGACCCAGTGTCCACCCCAGGAAACCGAGAGCCTGGAGAAACTCACAAGGCTGGTCCTGACCCTTGGCTTTGTGGATTCTTAGTCCAGTGTCTGTTCCAAGGCATCTTGGCAGCCACCACAGCTGGACAGGTGTCCCTGAGCTGTGCACACAGAGCAGGCCCTCTACTCCACCAGCTATGGAGGTTAGCAATGAGATCTCTGTACTTGTCAGCTTTTCTGGGGACCTGATGATTGTCTGACCTGCCCAGAGAAGAGAGGGGATGCAAAATGGTGGTTTATCTCCCTGTGACCTGAAGGGGCAGATTGGGGGAGGAGAGGGCAGAAGCAGGAAAAGGGGCACAGCAAGTGTTCAGGTCCTGCTTCCAGCCGGCAGAACTCCAGCTCTCCTAGGTGCAGGGATCTGGACCTTAGGCGATACCACAGACTGGAGAGGGAGGGAGGCACCACTGCTGGAGTGCCAGAGTCAAGTCCCTTCACTTGTCTCACAAGCCTGGCAGTGAGACAGCAGGCTGACTCCGTGTTCCCCTGGGGGACCAGTGGGGAGACCTTTGAGACCACCTATGAGGCTTAAAGAAGCAAAAGTGCCACCTGACCTTGTGCCAACCCTTGCCTTGACTCCTGGGAAGAAGCAAGAGGAAGCCAAACTAGGCTTCAGTGCCTGTGGAATCGGCTACCCACTTCCTCTAAGACTAGGAAGTGCAGAGAGCAACACTTGGCTTCTTTGCTATGGAGAGTCCCTGGTGGGTTCCCACTCCACCCCCACCCCTGGCCATTTCCCAGCTGACTGCATGCTCAAGAGGCCAGAGACCCTGATGGCACAGCAGGGGTCTTCCTAAGACATTGGCCAGGACTTCTGATTCTTTAAGTGCTGCTGTGCTGGGGGATGTCTTTCTGTAGACTGTGAATATATGTTGTTCCCATTGGTTAATAAATAAGCTGCTTTGGCCTGTGGCAAGACAGCTTAGAGGCAGGCAGAAAATCCAAGGAGAGAGACAGGAAAGAGAAAGGCAGAGTCTGGAGAGATGCCAGCCTGCCACCGAAGGAGCAACATGCCAGCAGACTGATAAAGCCACGAAACATGTGGCAAGGCATAGATTAATAGAAATGGGTTAATTTAAGATATAAGAGCTAGCTAGCAAGAGGTCTGCCATAGACCATACAGTTTGTAAATAATATTAAGCCTCTGAGTGATTAGTTAGTTAGGTTTTTTTCGAGGCAGAGTTTCTCTGTGTAGCTTTGGTGCCTTTCCTGGAATTCACTCTGTAGCCCAGGCTGGCCTCGAATTCACAGAGATCAACATGCTTCTGCCTCACAAGTGCTGGGATTAAAGGCATGTACCACCACTGCCCAGAGATTATTTTATTTTATAAGCAGCTGCAGGAATGTGGGGCTGGGTGGAACTGGACAAAACTTATGGCTACACTGCTGGAACTCTCCCCAGGGGCAGAAGTCTTTCCTTGTGTGTGTCTTGGGGCTCACCAGTGTCAAGAGATGCTCCAGAAGAAACAGTCTGGTGTTGGGGAATATTATTTTTGTTTATGTTGCATTTAACTCTGTGAAGCCGTGTTACTGTGCCTGTCTAAAACACCTGATGGTCTAATAAAGATCTGAATGGCCAATAGTGAGGCAGGAGAAAGGATAAGCAGGGCTGGCAGAGAGAAAGAATATATAGGAGGAGAAATTATATTGGAAGAGAAAAAAAAATCAGAGAAGCAGCCAGAGAAGGAGGAGGACTCCAGGGGCCAGCCATCCAGCTACACAGCAAGCCACAGAGTAAGAGTAAGATTTACAGAAGTAAGAGAACAGGAAAAGCCCAGAGGCAAAGGTAGATAGGATAATTTAAAGTTAAGAAAAGCTGGCAAGAAACAAGCCAAGTTAAGGCCAGGCATTTATAATTAAGAATAAGCTTCCGTGTGTGATTTATTTGGGAGCTGGGTGGCAGGCTCCCCAAAAGAGCAAAAGAGTGGGAAAAAAAAAAACAACAAACAATGGCCAGATAAGGTTGGGAAATGTTCCCTCCTGGAGCTGCAGACCCTTGGGGATTCATATTCTATATGAGCATAAAAAAGGCTCTGAGAAGTCCTGCAAGTTAGCATGTTGTCAGATTAGGTTTCCGACCCAGCTCTCCCAAACTTAGTTCATCATACACCACCCCTTCTGAAAGTTACCTGCACGCAGCACAAGAGTTGGTCCCACAGAAACACAGCAAATTGAACGGCAATGCTGAAGACCAGCTGGGGACGGGATGAGCAGCTATGACGTGCCAAGTCCCTGACTGCAGAAGTGTGTCTATTGGGGAGCATTCAGGGAGCAGCAGTAACAGGGAGCGCCCGGCTGCTTGACCGTCTCTCATGTCTATAGGTCCAGAGAGACACCACTAACCCTGCCCGCTCCGTTCAGACACCCGAATATGTGTGCTAGTGGCTAGACTCAGCTTGTCCTGAGTGACTCTTGGCCTCTCATTGGGCCCGGAAGCACCTGACTAGGAAGCCACTGAGAAGCTGTGCAAGCAGGAGACCCTTCCCCCAAAGAATATTCCAGATTGTTTGATAGACAGAGAGGCTAGTGTCCCATCAAGCCACCTGCTGTAGGGGCCTCTATGTGGGAAGGCACAGGCTTCAGAGACAGTCTGGAGGGTCTAGTCTGACACCATCATCATTGTCCTGCTGTGGGCCTGGACTCAGTCACTCAGTCTCTCAGAGGCTACTTCCTCGTGTGAAAATGAGAGCATAAAAGCTGCCTTCAAGATTGCCAGGGGAGTCAGGACTTATGCAAGACCTTGTCACCTCCAAGGCTACAATGAGTTAAGTCTCATCACCTCCGGAGTTGGAGAAGTTCCCCCAAAGTCAGGGTTAAATTTCACTGTTCATGTCTTAGTTCATTCATTTCAAATATTTAGCAGGTGTCTGCCGTAGGCCAGGAGCTGGGGAAGCAATGCTGAGTTAAAACAGGCTGGTCTCTACCTTCTCGGAGCTCATTGTCTGGTGGGGTCATTCATTCATTCATTCACTCATTCGTTCATTTGTTCATTTGTTCGTCCTACAACAACAACACAGCTGGCCAGGCACCATGATAAAACCAAGCTCAAGGCCCTGTTGTGGTGTGTATGAAACACTTCCACTATCGCCAGTTGTTTGGTGAGGCCACACGCCACGGAGCCACTACCCCACTGGAAAATGACTTCCAGAGGTTCAGGAAGCTGGCATGGGAAGCTCATTGGGAACCCACTACTTTCACTCTCAACCAGAGCTCCCGAAAACCTGCCCCTCCAGGTGCGGAGTTCCCAGAGAGGGCAAAAGTTCCGGCCACTTGTAGATCTGACAGCCGTTTGTCGGCCTGCTTGTTGACTGGTCCTGATTTTGCCCCAGGCCTCTGGCCTCCCCTCTTCAAGCACGCTCTCACCTGCAACCTTCCACACCATGTGGCACACAGGAACCAGGTCCTGGGATCGTGCCCTCCCCTCACAGCCCTTCTGCCAAGCTTGAACTTGCGCATCTTATAGGCCAAAGCTGCCCCTCCCGCATGGGCCTTCCTTGAGTGGAGAAGAGATCATGGCCTGAGAGGATTGGTCCTTCCTCGGGTGCCAGGCAAGCATGTGATCCCTGCGGTCCAGCAGGACCTGGTGGAAGCACGGAGTGGGAGCTCAGATCCAAACCTTCGCGGCTCTCCAAGCCAGTGAGGCCAGAAGCTGGAAAGGAAAAGGAAGAAAGCAATGGGGAGGGGCTGCAATCTATCTCCCTCTCTCCCTCCCTCTCTGCTCCTCCCTCCTTCTTGACTGCCCTCTCTCCCTCTCCTCCCTCCCTTCCTCCCTTTCTCCCCCTCCCTCTGCCCCCCATCTCTTTCTTTCTTTTTTTGTGCCTGAAAACTGACAGCGAGATCCTGGGGGGAGGGGGGGGCGGGGGGGATAGGACGAGGTGTGTGATGTCACCCAGCACCCATCTTGTTGTCGGCTTAGATGAGAGCATCCCCGGTCACAGGGAGGACGGACAGGTAAAGAATCCCCTAAAGCTACTCTCAACCACAGCTGCTGCCTCTTCCTCCTTTTCCAGGAAGACCTCTCAGTTCTTCTACCCTGGCACTCCCTGCACATCTGGCCGCTCCATCTGAGTACACCTGAGTGTACTCTCTCTCCCACAGAGCAGGGTTCAGCAGCACAGGGGCTGCCTAGACCCTAATGCAGACTCAGAGTGCAGAGGTTCCTTTGAAGACCAGCGTGGGATGTCCTGCCTCCTCAACCACACTTGCTCTCTACATTCTGAACTGCTTTACAAAGTGCCAAGAGCCTCTGCTGCGTTCCAGACATGGCGCCCTCCACAGAACCTATCTCCTCCTCCATCCCCTCTCTTGGCTTTGCTGACAATTCTCTAGATCTGTTGGCAGCAAGCAGTCTGACCTCAGCCACACTGAGGGGCACATGTTCTGTCTTCCGGGTTCTAGAGAGGATGTATGCATGAAAGATTCAGGGTAGAACCATGGCGGAACTGGCTGCCAGGAGTGGGTGAGCTATGTTGCCTCTTTAGCTGCTCCGAGTCTTCTGAGGGAGAGGGTCGCCATTCGTTCATTCGTGACCAGAAGAACGTAGAGTGACTCTTTTCCTCTGAGGTGGTCACACTCAGCAACAAGCCAGCTCTCTGCCTCCCCTGCTTCAGCTCTCGCCTGGACCCCTGCCTTGGCCCCCCAGTGATCTCCCACTTTCCTGAGCCTGCTCTGTAGACTGAGCTCCTAAACTGGGTACTCAACTGTGCAGCAGAGCTTGTCCAGCCCGTTCCTGACCTCTCCCATCACCCGTCCCTCCCCCTTCTCGGCCTTTAGCCTCATCTTCTCCCAACATTGTGCACACACTCCTTTCTGCTTCAGAACCCTTGAAGGTACGTACCATCCCTCTGCTTGCCTGTCCCCCCATCCCCTCAGGTTCCATCTAGTGCATCCATTCCTCAGACAAGGCTCCCAAGTTCCCCATGCTGGTTATATCCGAGTGTTCACACATTGTCATCTTATTTTCTCTGCACCGATCCAGGCTGTCACTCTGACTCGAGTTGTGGACCTATTTGATTGACATCTGCTTCCCGCTGAGCTGCAGGCTGTACATGGGTCGAAGCCAAGACTGTGCTTCTCCCTGTGTCCCCAGGCCAGTACAAGGTCTGGCAAGCAGAGGATGCTGGATGAATACCTGTTTGAATGAGCAAAACTCAAATGAGTGATGTGCCTGGTGGAAAGTCACTCAGTTAGGTCTTCAGAGCCTTGGGCTCCAGTGGGTAGGGAGAGGTTAGCTCCCAGAGGGAGCTGGGGAAGAAAAGTCCCACCTTTGTCTTGGGCTGTTAGTGCATTGAATCCCACCATGGCCATCCTGTTGTGTGCCCGTTCTTCCAGGTATCTAGGTCCCAGGAGCCCAGGACTTGTTACCTTTTCACCTTTGAAATGGTCCCAACCCAAGCGACCCTGGAGGGGAGAAGTGGAACCTTCAGACCATTTTCAGGGGCCAGAGATGGGCGAGAAAGAGGAAGGAAAGGAAGACAGAGCATCTCTGAGGGTGGCGGGGGAAGGCTGGTGGGAGACAGGATGTTGCGGGGAGGGGCAACCATCTCTCTCTGTTCTCGAAAAGGAACAGAAAATAAGAGTGTCCACTGTCTAGACGCAGCCAAGCTGGTGCCTCAGGAGCAGTCCCAGGGGACTCCCTGGAGCAGAGGAACTTTTTAGGAGCCACAGGTGGACGGGGAGGGAAAGAGTCCAAACCCAGGGACACAGGCAGGAGAATCATGTTCCAGGGTGACTGAGAAACAGGAGGCAGGAGGTCAAGGAAAGGTAGTGTGTCCAGGGTGGAAAAGAGTGTACAGGAGGCAGGAGTTACGCTGCTCACTAAGATGCCTGGTTGAGATCACTCTGCTCAGCATCCTCTAGAACAGAGGTTCTCAGCCTACCTAATGCCGCGACCCTTTAATTCAGTTCCTCACGTTGTAGTGACCCCAGCCATAAAATTGCTTTCGTTGATACTTTGTAACCGCAGTTTTGCTACTGTGATGAATCGTGGTGTAAATGTCTGTTTTCCAGCGGTCTTAGGTGACCCCTGTGAAAGGGTCATTTAGCTCCAAAGAGGTCACACCCCACAGGTTGAGAACCACTGCTCTGGGGACTCATCTCACTCAAAGAACCAGCTGCCTTCCTCTCTGTTCCCATTTCCTCCATCGCCCTCTCACCCCTCCACCGGAGTCCACGGGGTCCCCGTGCACCCGGGGCTGCCTCCAATGCCTGGAGAGGCTTCCTCACAAACATGCCGCCACGATCTCCTTACCTCCCTGAGACTTTGCTCTGCCAAGCCCTGATTCTGTCATGTGATGTCACACTTTAGCTATCCCAGCCCTCCCTATTTCCCTTGCCCGTGTGGCCTTTCCACCGCAGACGCACCTTCTAGAACCTTCCATCACTTACTCCCTCAGAAGGAAGTAGGAAACGTCAGCTGCTTCGCCGACATCACATCAGCACCCCGGACAGTACCTGCCCCACGGTAGGTGCTGAATCAGAAGGGAGCCAGGGAGTGGAGAGGAATATCAAGATTTTACCAGCAGGCTCCCTGCTCAGCCGGGAGGAAGCAAAGTCACAAGGCTGGCAACCCTAATTTTGCCCCATATGCCAGGAACAGAGTTGGATCCCTGGCTGGCACTTCAGTCGAGGCTCACCCTCCTCCTTCCCTCCCTCCTCCACTCTGGAGTCCTCCTAAGGTGCTCCCGGCATCTGGCATCCATCAGCCCCTTCCAGAAGTCCTTGTGAAACAAGGGGGCCGTCTAAAGCGATCCCAGATTGGGGCAAGCCAAGCATGCCTGTGAGCTGCCCCTGTCCCAGCGCCTCTCCCACCCCAGCCCTGCCCAGAGCTACCAATCCACTGGTCTCCCCTCCCCTCTTCCCTTGGGCCTGGGGGAGGTTGTGGCCAGCCACACAGGACTGCTGGCTCCAGATGTGAGGGAGGGATGTGGAGGGGAGCTGGTAGGAGGGGACGGGCAAGCAAATGGGACCTGACAGGGGCCGGGCACCTCGGGCAAAGAATGTAAATAAAAAATCAGTAAATATTTAGGGGAAATGGAGCGGGAAGTGGGAGAAGGAGGTGGGGAGGGGTTGCGTTGGATTTCCAACAACATCTGGAGGGCAGTCCCCTCTCCCCCCCCCCCCCCCCCCGCCACCTTCTTTGTGCTTGGCCCCACCCTTGGGGACTTTCAGCTCAGAGTGATGGCTCTTGGGAGGGCTGGCTGTTGGAATGTACACGCACACACGCACGTGGATGGTCTTCCGCGCTTGCCAACACTAAGGCCCCCTCCCACAAGGCCTTGCTGGAGCGAGGTAGTGGGGTCCTCAGGTGGTAACATAGGATCCCTGCCCTTAGAAACCTCTTAGAGAAAGGATGTGGGCCACACCTAAGGAGGACCTTGACAGAGGGATGGAGGGGGTTATGACATCAAGGGAGAACAGTGACATCAAGGGAGGAGAGGGACAGGTTCCTAGAGGAGGGGCCGGGGAGGTGGGGTGAGGATCGTTTTCAGAGACAGGTGGGAAAGGGGTCACCCGTGAGCAAGGTGGGGGCTGGGGAGAAGATGGAGCAAGCACAGAGGGCTGAAGCTGTGGATGAGGGATGGGCAGGCTTGAGGTTGTCTCCGGCCTGCATCGCCTTTCCCCGCATCTCACCAGAAGGGGCTTCCCCTCTTCTAAGGGAGTTAGTTCATCTGAAGGACTTTCTCAGGGAACAGAAGGAAAATCCTTTCCCAGGTCCGTACTGGAAACAAAGGAAAGCACCGAGCGGAGAGGCCCCTGCGCCCCCTGCGCCCCCCTGCGCCCCCCTGACCCCCTCTGTTCGGCAGTGTGCTTACTTTCCTAATTGAGGTCAGACCCCCAGGAGAGTACCCAACGGTCTCCTGGCATTTCTCGTGTCTTTTCCTGATGGAACGGACGCTTCCCTCGGCTAGGCCTCCCCGAGCCAGGCTGCCTTGGGTGTAGAGCAGGCCTCTAAAGAGGGTCACAGGCCTCCAGTGTCATCTCTGCCTCCTGCTTCCAGGCCAGAGAACAACCGGCCTTTTGTCCAGCAGAAGATGCCCAAGGGGTGAGGTCACCCCCAACATGGCTCTCTTTGTCCCATAACCAGTAAAACATCAAGGCTGAGTCCAGGCCGTCTGCTTACATTCTCTGTCCTCAAGCCCTGGCCACCTCTCAAGGGCTTCCTGCAGGTCGCAGGGAGATACATTCAAAGGGAAGGTGGCTGGTGTGGGAGGTGAAGAGTACAGAGAGGTCCAGAGCGGGGCTGAGAAATCGTCTCCCATAAGTGGACAGCCCTTCCTCATAAGGAGCTCCAGGCACAAATATGACTTGGCCAAAAAAGTGCTTCAGAACTCAAAAGGAAAAGTGAAGGGTCTGGGAATAGAGGTTCTGGCTGTTGCTATAACTTTAGATCAAGGGTCCCTCAGAAAACTGGTGAACCCCAGCTACACCAGAGGGAGGAGGGCTTTCAACAGACCTCCCGGATCCCTTTCCCATGGAGGCAAAAACCCCTCCCTCCAGGGACCGCGGGGCCTAACTGAGCAGAGAGGCCCTGGGTGGAAGGATGGCCTAGAGAAAGGCCAGGGCAGGGTCTTGTAAATGCAGCGTGATATCCCTAGATGGGCCCTGGGGCCACCTCCTGCTCTGCCTCCAACTTGGGGCAAGGTCAGGTTTAGCAATCTAGGCAAAGGATGCTGAAATTTATCAGGGGACCTAAGGGCAGGGTTGGAGAATTCTAGAGTCACCCAGTGGGACACAGAGAGACCCAGAAAGATAGGCAGAGGCTCCCTGAGGCCTGTGGCTAGGGAAACAGCTGTCTGGAGGGAGGGAGCAGGTCCCCACGTGGCCCTGACTGGCTGGCCAGGGAGGACAGTGATGCCATTGGAGGGGTTAGCTGCTGTCGGAAGACTGGGGTGTGTGTGGAGGGTTGTGTCCACCCAAGAAGCTGAATGGGTCAAGGGAAGTCAGAGAGGATGGTGAGAGCATGGGTTAGTAACAGGACATGATCTGACCAGGTCATCTTCTAACTATGGGTTCTCAGACTGCAGTTTCTTCTGCCTCCCCGCACCCCACCCCCACCCCCACCCTGTTCACTCTGGACAAGGCTCCTCCCCATCTGGGTAGAATGTTATGGGAGCTGAGAATAGCCTCTGCTGGGGTCAAGGAAGGGAGGGACGCTGGGGACTAATTGCCCTAAATAAATGAGCAATTAAGGCCGTTAGAAGAAATAGCTAGATGCCCCCACCACCACCCTGAAATATCACCATGGCAACCACAGCCAGTTCCTCCCCAGAAAAGGCTGGGCCACTTGTTTGGCTTACATCGCCGTCATTCAGACAGAAGGGTGGCCAGGATGTCTTCTGTCTGGAGAAACAGAAAGGGTAGAGGAAAAGACTGGGTGGAAGGGGAGGCAGAGGAGTGCCTGGGATGACCTGCTGGCTCGAGACTCTCAAGGATGGCTTGAAGTCAGACAGTTGGGCAAAGGGGAACAGTAGTGCCGTGTGCACACTTCATGGCTACTGCCTCCAATCCCAACAGCACAGCAGCCAGCGTGGTAGGGGCTTAGGAGTGGACGCTGCCAGGAGTAGACCTTGCCAGGTCCCCATCTCCTCTGGGCACCTCGCCCCTCCCCCTGCACTTCCTGTAATGGCGTCTCCAATGGGGAGCCCATTAGTCCTTCTCAGGGTAGCGCCTAAGTACTGTGGCTGATAAATATAACATGAGCCCATCGATTAGAACCCTCCTAGTCCTGCACAGCATGACTCCCTAATGGCTCACCCTCCCCTCAGCCCAGACTCCCACCCACCCCCACCCAGGGCCACTTTCCTGGCTTACTGAGAACTTAGAGGTAGTTATTACTGGAGCAGAAGGAGGAGACGTGGGCAATCCCCAGAGCTCAGCTGGAAAGGCCCCTGCTTCAAGACCTACTTGGGCAAATCTGGGCCCCAAGATGGGCTGGAAAGCCCTCGTCCGTCAGTCAGGGTACCAGAGAAGGTACTGGCTGTCCTGGCTTATAGGACCCCTGCCTCTATCAAGTGCAGAAGGCAGAGAGCCCCTGCCTTCTGTGAGAAGACACCAATCAGGCCTCCGAGGGCTCTTGTGGGGACTCTTAGAGAAGTCTGTGGTGCCACCAACTTTGACCTTGTCACCATACCCTCTTGGAACCCTGAGCCTCAGCTAGCCTGGCTGTACCTGTCCTAGCCCACTGAGCCCTGCCACCTTCCCCCAACTCCCCCCCCCCCCCCTCCGCTGATGCCGACTTTCTGTCTTTGCTCCAGCCAACTGTGGGCTGCCGCACTCTCAGATTAGAGATCCTGAGGGGAAAGAGGGACCCTCCGACTCATGGTAGGGGCTGGAAGGCATGAGTTATCTCCCCAAGCTTTCCAAAGTCGAGCGGGAGACTTCAGTGGGTGGGACCTGACCCTATAAGGTAATCAGACCAATTAGGCCTTGTTAGCCACCAGTGTTGGGAGCTGACACCCCTCTGCACACCTCCCCACAACCTGAGTGAGACCCCTTGCCCCTGGGACCCACTGCTGAAGACAGCCGCATGGAAGAGCTCTAACAGAGAAGTCAGTGATAGCGCTTGCCTGGGTGCCAGAGGGGGCTTCGTGGGTGGATGGTGGCCCAGGCCTGGGAGGGGGCTGCGGTTTTATAGCACTGTGGCTCTGGGTGGAGGCTGCCCACAGAATCCTCTAACAGGAAGGCTGAGCCAGGCTGGCTGCAGCCAGGAAGTTCATCCTTAATGTGCCTCTGGCCCTGCTGCTATACAAATCCACCGCTTAAACAGGCCGGGTGGGGACCAGCCACAGAGCTTGCATTCCTCCGGGTGGGGCTTGGTGCCACGGCAAACCATGTACCAAGGATGCTGCCGGGCTGTGTGTGCTCCAGGGGTGCCTGTCTGCCGGAGAAGCTTCCCATAAGAGGGTGGGTTTGCAAGAAGCCGTGGCCCATTCTCTGTCACGTGCCCCACCCTGACCTTGTGCCTCACTTACACTTATAGTCGGCATCCCAACAAAGATGTGAGTTTTACATGTGTATGGATGGTGTGTGTACACATGTGTATGCGGTATGAACGCATGTGTGTCCAGGCTAGGGGTCAACACCAGAGAGTCTCCCTCAGTCACTCTCCACCATATTTTTAAAATAATATTTTTATTAATTCTTTGAGGATTTCGTACAGATATACAATGTATTTTGATCACGTTCATCCCCATCCCCCTTAGCACCTCCCAGATCTACCCTCCTCCCCCATTTCCTTCCTGACTTTATGTCCTTTGGGGATGTCAGAGACAGGGTCCCCCTGTGTAGCCCTGGCTGTCCTGGAACTCACTCTGTGGACCAGGCTGGCCTCAAATCCAGAGATCCGACGGCCTCTGCCTCCCCAGGGCTGGGATTAAAGGTGTGCGCCTCCACACCCCACTTGTCCTATTTTTCCCCCATTGGGTCAAATCCATGCTGCTCATGTACACGGAGGCTTGGAAAGGCCGGGAGAGAACTCGGAGAGACCGTCCAGCATCTTTCCAGTAGGATCAGGTCTCTCTCCTTGTGTCCTCATATAACCCTGACTCCCCTAAAGGCCCTTCTAATCTAGCCAGGTTGCAGGTTAGGGCTTTAAGGGTTCACCTACAGCATCAGAGTGACTCCATCCTTCCCCATAGTGTACCCCAGTCGTGAAGATGAGTTAACTGGGAGTCCCCTTTTCAGCTGGTCATGCAAAGTAGCCCCTGCCCTTTCCTGGGCTCCCCCTCCTTCCTCCTTTATCCCCCGCTCTCCCATCACTGAGTCTTAGGATGGGTCAGGAGCATCCAGGGGCCTCAATAGCCTGAATTCAGCCCCCAGCCCGGGATATATTTAGCCGCGTGCCTCAGACACTGGACAAAGCCACTTCCAAGGAGCTGGTGGGAACGGAGTTGGGGGTGGGGGTGGGGTTGTCCTTCCTGCTCCTTCCCCTTCCTGATATGGGGACCCCTCAGTTGCCCTTCTGGGGTTACCAAGAATGCCATTCACAGGGCAAGGGTCTGAATACGGGTGAATTGCTCTCTATTTCTAGACCATCTGCGAGAAGGGAGCTCTGAGGTTCTGCCCCTGCCTGAATGGGCACATTCTGGAGTTTTCTTTCATATATTCACCACCCAGTTCAGTGACCAAGGGAGCTTTGAAAGAGATTTAACTGGTCTGGGGTGAGACCCTGTTATCTATCTATTTGATTGACTATATGTATGTCCATCCACCACCCATTCATCCATTCATCCATTCATCCATCCATCTATCCATCTACCCATCCATTTATCTTTCTTTTTTTCTTTTTCTTTCTCCTCTCTCTCTCTCTCTCTCTCTCTCTCTCTCTCTCTCTCTCTCTCCCTCTCTCCCTCTCTCCCTCTCTCTCTCCTCTTCTTTCTTCCCT